TTTTTTCTGGTTCCAGATGAATTTAAGGCATGCTTTCTCTAGATCTGTGAGGTCTGCTAATGGTAGTTTAATGGGAATTGCATTGAATCTGTATAGCAATTTTGGGAGAATGGCCATTTTCACAATGTTGGTTCTTCCTATCCATGAGCAAGGAATATTTTTCTATTTACTGAAATCTTCTTTGATCACCTTTTTCAGAGTACTGTAGTTTTCATTGAATACATCCTTTACTTCTTTTGTTAGATTAATTCCTAAACATTTCAATGTCTTGGAGGTTATTGTTTGTTGTTTGTGTATAGGAATGTTGTCGATTTTGGGGTGTTGACTTTGTATTCAGCTATACTGCTGAATTTGTTGATTAATTCAAGGAGTCTTCTCGTGGAGTTTTTGGGGTCTTTCATATAAAGTATCATGTCATCTGCAAATAGTGATAATTTTACTTCTTCCTTTCCTATCCTTATAACTTTTATTTTTCTCTCTTGTCTAATGGCTCAGCTAATGGTTCCGAAGTATATTGAACAAGAATGGTGACAGTGGAAATCCTTGTCTTGTTCCTGATTTTAAAGTAAAAGTTTTCAGTTTTTGTCCATTTAGAATGATGTTGGCTGTTGGACTGTCATAGATGGCTTTGATCAGGTTAAGGCAAAAACCATCTATTCCTATTTTCTGTAGAGTTTTTATCATGAATGCATGTTGGACTTTGTTGAAAGCTTTTTCTGCATCTATTGAGATGAACATGTGGTTTTTGTCTCTGGTCCATTGATATGGCATATAATATTTATAGATTTGTGAATATTGAACCAACCCTGCATTCCTGGAATGAATCCAACTTGGTTGTGATGTATGATTTTCTTGATGATTTGCTGTATTCTATTTGCTAGTATTTTATTGAGGATCTTTGCATCTATATTCATTAGGGAGATTGGTCTGTAGTTCTCTTTCTTGGTTGGGTCCTTCTCTGATTTTGGTATCAGAATGATGCTTGCCTCCAGAAATGAGTTAGGGGGAATTGCTTCCTTTTCAATTTCATTTAAGAGTTTGAGGAGTGTTGGTATTATATCTTCTCTGAATTTGTGGTAAAATTCTCCTGTGAATCCATCAGGGCCTGGTCTTTTCTTTGTTGGTAGGATTTTAATCATGTTTTCAGTCTGATTAATTGATATTGGTTGTTCAGGAATTCCACATCTTCTTGACTCAACCTTGGAAATTCATACATATCTAGGAATCTATCTGTTTCTTCTGAGTTTTCTATCCTATGGGAGTAAAGATTTTCAAAGTCAGTATTAATGATCTTCTGAATTTTTGTGGAATCTGTGGTAATTTCATCCTTTTCATTTCTTATTGCATGAATCTGAGTTCCTTCCATCCTTTTTTTGATAAGGTTGGCTAGGGGGTTATCAATTTTATGTATTCTGTCAAAAAAACACCTCTTTGATTCATTTATTTTTTGGAGGGTTTTCTTTTTCTCAGTTGAATTAATTTCTGCCCTAATCTTTATAATCTCCCTTCTCTGGGCTTTGGGCTTGACTTGTTCTTCTGTTTCTAAAAGTTTAAGATACAACATTAGTCTATTTATTTGTGTTCTCTCTGTTTTCCTTATGTGTGAATTCACCACTATAAATTTCCCTCTGAGGACTGCTTTCATTGCATCCCATAAATTCTGGTAAGTTGTATTTATTTTTCATTTGTTTGTAGGTATTTTTTAATTTCCTCTTTAATTTCTTCTGTGACCCATTGGGTTGTTCAGGAGGTTGTTGTTTAATTTCCAATTGTTTATGGAGTTTTTGGACTTCCTTTTGTCATTAATTTCCAATTTCATTGCACTGTGGTCAGATAATATGCATGGGATAATTTCAATTATTTTGCATTTTGGTAGGTATGCTCTATGGGCTAGAATGTGGTCTATTTTAAAGAAAGACCCATGTGCAGCTGAGAAAAATGTGTATTCTGATGTTGTGGGGTGGAACACTCTGCACACATCTACTAAGTCCATTTGTTCACAGCTGTTGTTCAGATCTGTTATTTCCTTACTGATTTTGTCCATTTGACCTGTTTCTTTGTATCAAGGGGTTGTTGAGGTCCCCTGTTACAATAGTGTTATTAATTATATGGGTTTTCATACTTGTTATGATTTGTCTTATATAATTTGTAACTCCAGTATTTCGTGCATACATCTCTATGATTGTTATCTCATCCTCTTGCAGTTTTCCCCTGACAAATAGGTAGTGACCTTCTCTATCTCTTTTGATTGCTGTTGGTTTGAAGTTTACATTGTCTGCAAACAGAATAG